AAAAGAACCTCTACTCATTAAGTTCTTCTGTTTAGTTTGGAACTGAGATAGATCTAGGAGTGTTTGAAGTAAACAAAACTAAGAATTCCTTCTCAGTACCTAAATGATCAACAAAATCAATATATTATGTGTATCTTCAACTTCTTAGTATACTGGCTTCCTGGCATTGTCATTAAAAAAAACAAAACAAAACAAAAAACCAAAACACCCAGCATATTTCTTAAGAAAACCCTGAGTTAAATGTTAGAATAAAATGTTTTGTTTTCTTTGTTTTGAATACAGTAGGATGTTTCAGCATATCATGTTAAGGTTAAAGGATACTAGAAATCAGAAATTGTGAGATTTTGTTAAACATAATGTGAGCTTAGCCTCTAACATTGTAACAAAATCCTGTTATTGTTACCATTTAGCAATTGTCATAATGTGACACAACCCATTTTTTAAAATTTTAGGTGGTAGAAGTTAAGAGCCATTTCTATGTAGTATTTGTCATATAGCCTCTAGTCCAATACCAAACATAATTAAGTGCTTGATACTGTTTTTTAGTGAGCAATAATAATAATGATTTTCTAAACAGGATTTATCAATCTCTGTGAAATAAAGAATGTGATGGGCTTTAAAGCTAATGTTACATGGTTTCACTTACTTGTGGAGCATAAGGAATAACACGGAGGACACTGGGAGATGGAGAGGAGAAGTGAGATGGGGGAAATTGGAGGGGGAGACAAACCTTAAGAGACTGTGGACTCTGAGAAACAAATTGAGGGTTTTGGAGGGGAGGTGGGTGAGCCTGGTAGTGGGTATTATGGTGGGCACCTATTGCATGGAGCACTGGGTGTGGTGCATAAACAATGAACTTTGGAACACTGGAAAATAAATAAAATAAAATAAAATGAGAAAAAGGAAAAATAAAAAAATTATGGAAAAAACGCACTAACGTCACATATATATCTAAGCTATTAGAGATAAATACCCATACATTGGTCTATACTTAGGTCCTTAATTTTTCAGTTTGAATTTCATCACATTACTTTTTTCTCCCTTTTCTTTTCCATAGTACTGCATACTTTCAGTCTAGCAGAAAGGAAAATATATTTTTATCACATCCTATTATTAAACTTTCAGGTCTTATGTTAAAAATTTGGCCTATCCTTTGTCTTCTCTGTTCAAGCTATTCATATAAACTTAGAGCCTGTCTTTTGTTATGACCCTAAAAGATTAAATAATTTCTTTATTATTTTCATGGATTAATATGCAATAAACAAACCCAGTCATTTATCAGAAGATACACTAATAATTTAAAAATTAGAACAATTTAATTGAGTTTGTGCTCATTAGGACATGAAAAAATTATAAAACATTTTTATTCTCATGGACTTTCAGTTTTGTCTTCCCCACTCCCACCCCCACATCCTTACTTGTTTCCTTCACTGCATACGCAAGTGTCCATCATGGAACTCATGGAACATTTCACCATATTGTATAGCAGTTAAGCTCACAGTATCTGGAGCTAGACTCACAAGGTGTGATTTTGAGTGCATTATATATATTTCTGTACCTCAGTTTCCCCTTACTGTATAAAATAAGGATATTAACAATACTTACTTCATAGGATTAAAAAGATTAAGTGTTGAAAATAATAGTGTCCACTTTGTGGACTAGTGGAAAGTTATATCTCACAGTTATTAAAGTGTAATGCTAGCTATTATTGTCATCATCATTAGAATCATAAATAACCATTATCATCAAGAACCTTGAATCTATTGAGAAGACAAGGAACAGACCTGTGTCTTATGCCATTTTGTGCACCTAGTGTCAGAAACCGCACCTGATAATTAATACGAAACTCAGTATTTTTACTTTTCATAAATTGTATTTGTTCGTTCGTTTGTTTGTTTGTTTCTACCAGTAGTTGTTCAGAGGGATGGAATTTTGCTGGGGAGCCTTAGTCTTATGGCTTGGTTATCAGTAACAGCAGAGATGACATGAATTAACTTTAGATCTACGAATATTGCTGCTCTGAGATTCTCTGAATATGCGATTGTCTCTGTTGTCCTTTGCTTTCCACCCCAGACTCTGTGTATATATTGATCTGATAACGTGTTCTTTGCTATCATCTCCAGAGGCAACCTGTTACCTAAGAGAAGAGATGCCATCTCATTACAAAATAATTGAATCCCTCCTCTACACTATCCATGGGCTGCCCTTAGCCTTCCCCAACCTCCCCAGCCCAGTACAGAGAACTTTCCCATATTTGACTACGGAGTTTCCTTGATAAGTATGACCACAGATAATCCTTTTTATGTATTGAATATGCTACATGAATGAATTCCAAAGAAAACAACCAAGTACTTATTTTGTAAACATAACAGTTCAGACTCTAAAAGAAACAAGAGGCTTCTCAACAAAAAAAGGATTTTTATGCTCTAACCCACAGTGTGAAAGACCCCGATCTCAAACACAAAATGTCTTAGGGGCGCCTGGCCAGCTCAGTCAGCAGAGCATGCAACTCTTGATCTTGTGGTGGTTAAGTTTGAGCCCCACATTGGGTATAGAGATTACTTAGAAATAAAATCTTAAAACAACAACAACAACAAAAATCGAAAATATTTTAAGCTACATCTTTCTAATATTAAATTATAATAAAATTTAAGATGCCACTAAGAATATTCATATTTTACGCTAAGTTCATGGATCATACGTTATTTTAAACCATAAATTATTAGCCATCTTGATAGATTATGCAAAACTCTGTTAACTTCAATAATTCTTGGAAATTCCAGGCATGAGTTCTTAAAATAATGCATGGCTTGCAAACTCAACCTAAAAAAATTCCCCCTGATTTCAAGGGTTGACAGATTTATTAGTAGATGAAGTGTGTCTATTTAGTAGAAAAACAGAGAGGAGAAAGTTGGAGCAATGCTGAATTAAAGGAAAAATACACACCCTGTCCCATCCCCCATCCCAATCATTGTAGCAAGTTGTAAATGGTGTATGAAATGACAAACCCCTGCCCAATGCACAGGAAGAATATAAATATTGCTCTGTAATCACTGCAGTTATGACCTATTTGCTAAGATTTTCTGCTTAGGTGAACCCAGAAAAACCTCACATCATCTACAAGTTCAAAAAAGCAATCAACGAAACTGAGATTATGTTATTTTACTATATACAACACTCTCCTCTTTTCCCCACTTTTTTCTAGCCATAACATATTTATTGACTATAAGACATATTTATTGACTATTAGGATACTGAAGTATTACTGAAGAGTATGTCTAACAAAAAGATGTTAAAATATTTTTAAAAAGGAAATGTCAAAGCACATATATTACACAGAGGATACCAGAAATATTTTCCATTCCAGAGTCAACCAGACCTGGGTTTGAACCCTGGTTTTGTTTGAACCCCAGGTTTGACTCTAGCTGCATGATTTCACACATCTTTTTTTAATGGCTCTGAGCTTCAACCATTTTCCTTTGTGAGAAGGAGATAATATGTACCCACAATTTGAAAATTAAATTTGAAGATTAAATGAAACAATGTAAGCCATAAAGCACAATATTTGGCAAAGTAGGGTATCTGTGAAATGTGGGTCAATTTTTTTCTTTCCTTTTCATGATGGAAGTACCTGTTAAGTCATGGAAAGAATGCTGCCTTTTGAACTAGAAGACTTAGGTTGTCATTTTTCACTTTTTTTTTTTTTTTAATTTATTTGACAGACAGATCACAAGTAGGCAGAGAGGCAGGCAGAGAGAGAGAGACAGGAGGAGGAGGCAGGCTCCCTGCTGAGCAGAGAGCCCGATGTGGGACTCGATCCCAGGACCCTGAGATCATGACCTGAGCCGAAGGCAGAGGCTTTAACCACTGAGCCACCCAGGCGCCCCCATTTTTCACTTTTTAATTTATGAGACAATTCAGTGGACCTTGTTGAATAGATATGAGCTAATTTTTAATGAAAATAGATATTATTTTTTTCTATAAGAAAAATTTATGATAATGTACACTTTAAAAATGTTCAACAAGTGCCAGGTATTAATATTATAAATTAACATATATGGATCAAAAATATACACATATATAATACCCAAGTTTTTATGAATCTGTTCTTTAGAGACATGACAAACTACAGTTATTTTATTCTTAAATGATAACTTTTTTTTTTTTTTGCTCAGTTTCTTCAAGGTCATATTTATTGGAACTATCTCATAATAAACTGCAAGATGTCCTCAGAATGCGAAGGTTAAGGTTAAGTGTATTGGAATTGGACTCCAGGACACCTGGTTTTGTATTTAAAATCATGCTGCAAATTTCTCTTTTCCATCTTGGATCTCTCTGAATCGTTCAGCTGCCTTAATTAGATATGGAAGTTGATGTTCAGTATTTACCCATGCCAGACTATCTTATCTCTCTGCATGTACAGGTGCAAGTCATCCTTGAAAAAATTAAGGCTTAGGTGCCATTATATTTCAAACAATAGCTAATATTTTGGAAATTTTAAAAACCTTCTCCCAGTAGATAATGTTGTAGAAGGCAAACCAAGGCAGAGGAATCACCCCACGCTACTGATAAGAATCCACATCAAAGTTGTGCTTTCAAATGAAGTGACACGCCTATTCACACATATAGCCTCATATGCATAAAAATTAGTTGGTCACCAGAGGAAAATAAAGAAATTTTCAAAATCTAATTTAACTCATTTAATAAGACCATGAACCAAAGAGAATGAAAGATGTCAAGAAAAAGAGGAAATATACCTCAGCCAATAATAGGTTTCATTTCCTACTTTAAAAAAAAAAATAATAATAATGCTTTGTACGATTTGAGAAGAGAATGAGGCCTATTCATTTTGATCCTGTGGCAATACTTTGAAGCTTACGTTTTAACCTGGTCTATTTTACATTTCCAGATGCTATGAAAGGCAATGTATGCAGAAAGCAACACCCATGGGGATTTGGGTATTTCACTTGCCCCACTGTTAGCGGTGATTCGGATCTTACTTTTTCTGAAAGCATCTTTAAAGAATTCTTCAAGCTGTCTGGAGAATGCTGGCTTGCAGAATTAAGCAGTAGGTCTGCATGGGTTGCTATCAGAGGTTGGAGCTGATTGATGTTGCTGAGAACTTCTTTTGCTTTGGCTGTGTTTTCAGGCGAATAGTAAATAAACTGGTATCCAGTACTGGAACAACAAAGATAAAGGCAAGTTACACAAAAAAAGCAGAAAGCATTTGCAACCCTTAGTACCAGATGGCAAATGAGAAACAGAACTCCAAATAGCATGATTTCCTTTTGAACAGATAAGAACTATTCTAAGAGGTTTTCATGATGTCCTAAGAGTTTTTTTTTAAGCAAAATGACCAAGATATTTTTTAAGACCAAGATTGTTTTTCAAAGATTTTAAAAGTGAAATGAATCAAGTTTTGCTCAACTACAAGGAAGATTCTTTATAATTACATATGTCAGGTATTAGTATTCAAAACAAATTATTGTTCATTACTAATAAATTTGAAGTCACATTAATATGGAGTGAAAGTATGAGCTTTTATATTCAGGCTAATTTGAATGTAAATCCTGGCTCTGCCACCTACTAGCACGGTGACCTTAGGCAGGCTTCAGTTTTCTCCACAGGAAATTATGAATAAATATACAAGAATTCTAAGAGGTGGATAAGCTTGGTCATAATTCATGTGAAATGCCTACAAAAGTGCCTAACACAGAGCAAGCATTCAGTAAGTACTACCTATATTTTCCCCCATGATAGATAGGGCAGAGTGAGTAAATTTTAATAGCTGAGAAATGGGGAGAAAATATATTAATGCCAGGAAAATATATTAATGGGCATAAGGAGAATTTTATTGGCTAGAACAAGAATATTGATAGCATTAAAAATTCACTAGGCTATTTTATCATTACCCAATTTGTTCTTAGTGGTTTCTCATTTCACTTGTAAAGAAAAATCTAAAAGTGATTACTAAATAAAGAATTACTGACTTTTATAATCATCATCTAAGAATTGGTCAAGCATACTACAGGGGTAAGGATTCCATGGAATGAAGGAATCTTTTGATAAGGAAAGACAAAGGAAGCATTTCGGCAGGGGAAGGAATAAACCAGCAAAACACCAGCCAAAGTGAAAGAAGAGGGAAGTTCCCTTGGCTGGCCTGGCGTAGCACTTGCCTACATCCCTTTGCATCCACCGTCAAAGCATTTTTCATGTATCTTGCACTCTGTGTTGAGTACTTATTGAGTATTTTCTCTACACTTACCAGTTAAATTATTAAAATTCCCATAATTCCATTTCTTATTTAGAAATATTAGAATCCAACAAGAAAAATTAACAAGTAGGGAGCACTCTTCCTTCCCTTCCATTCACACTAATGACTTTGATGGGAAAGTATCAGTTTCCTCGGTAAGACAACACTCCTTTTTGTAAACATATAATGACTGTTCCTATTGTTTTATTTATAGCGGTGATTGAAAGAAAAATCCTTCATCGCTTGGACTATTCAGAAGATAGTCCATAAGCTGATGAGGGATACAGGTTTGTGAAGGCTAAGAAACACTTCAGCAGTGTGTGACACTTAGAATTTGGTCTTAATTCTGTCCTTACAGACTTCTACATTTCAGAAGTGGGAGCTGAAAAATAAAACACACCATAACTACTTATTGTATTTTTTTTAATATTTTATTTATTTGACAGAGAGAGATCACATGTAGGCAGAGAGGCAGGCAGAGAGAGAGGGGGAAGCAGGCTCTCCGCCAAGCAGAGAGCCCCATGTGGGGCTCGATCAGGACCCTGAGATCATGACCTGAGCCAAAGGCAGATGCTCAACCCACTGAGCCACCCAGGTGCCCCTATTGTATGTATTTCAATGCAAATTAAAGCAAATGAATGAAGAACAGTGGTGAGGAAGAGAAAGAAAACAGTCATCCCTGCCAATCACCTATAACTTTTTCTGGTTCACCTGATCTCGCTCAGGAGTGTGCTAAGGCCTCTAACAAAAATCACCACCTTTGATGTACCCCTTACTCATCTGTACTCAGACCAGATACAACGTTCAATCCACCACAGTGGATTAAGAAAGCAAACAACTCCGTGTTATTTTTGCAAAGAAAGGGATTATCTAAAGATATTAGTGGGTCATGGGGCTGGGGATGATGTTTGATACCCAGCACCTCTAACAGACTCTAGAGACTCAACAGAGAAAGAACATGTGGTAGCTGCTTGGTGGTCCCTTTCCACTAATCTGCTCTTCTTGTCATAATTTACTTTCTGCTGTCAACTTCTGGGTACCTACAGGCCTCCCACAGCTTAGCTCTTGGAAAGCAGAGTTCTGCAGGCCATGTGTGGTCTTCTAGCTTTCTCGTCCCATAACTGTCCTCTTTGAGGATGTCATGAGTGTCCTCTCATAATTCAATCCCACGCATTCTTTTGACTCCTGGCACCATTGCCTTCCTTCTTTACTCATCTCATACTTCCCTGGCAGTTCACTGTTACTTTATTCCTGAATTTTACCTACTTTCATCATTATTATTATGTTTAAAGATTTTATTTATTTGAGAGAGAGCACATGTCAAGGCATGAGAGCAGGGGAGGAGGGGCAGGGGGGAGGGAGAGGAGGAGGTAAGAATTCCAAGCAGACAGGAGCATGGAGCCCCACATGAGACTTGATCCCCCCCATCCTAGGACCCTGAGATCATGACCTGATAGAAGCCAAAAGTCAGATGCTCAACAGACTGAGCCACCCAGGTATGCCTACTTTCATTATTTTTTCCTATGTATTTCTTACTCTGCACATTTCTTTAGCCTCTCCTCTCCATTCGAGTCTACTACACACATTTTCAAGATTTATTTCTTACATGTTCTTTATTTCTACATGTTCTAATTAATAGTTCAGTGATCCTCAAATTTTAGCAGGCATATGATTCACTTGGGAATGAGGAGAGAGCCTGGGTGTTTGTTTGAAAAATGCAGATTTCCTGGCAACACTGAAAGATTCTGCTTCAGTGGATTGCAGCACTGTAACAACCAGCTCAGTAAATGTAGATGATGCAGAGGCACAGCTGAGCACGTTTAGAGACACCTGCTGCCCTTGCTTTGTTTGTGAATCTCCTCTAAACCCTTGGTCTTGCTACGCCATGCCTCTGATAAAGGTCCTTTTTCTCATTCTAAGTTTCAAGTTCCTTGTTCCTTAGTTATTCTCATTTCCATGATACCCTTTACAAGGCTAGCTTTGTACTCTGTCTTTATATCTAGCTCATGTTGTTTTGCTTCCCTCTCTTTACCAGCGCTGCCTCCCCTCACTATTATCATCATCCTTTTCTCTCTTCCCTCCCAGCATAGTTCCTTCCTCTTCCTCTCCTTCCCCAGTCCCCCTTGTGGGATGCTCCCAGAGACTGCCCCCTGCTCCTAAGTCAGTCTCCATTGGAGCTAAATAACATAGCAGGCTTTGGTTCTCCCCATTAGGTTATTTAATGATGAGCATCTTACCTAGTGAGGTAGAAAGATTCATTTTCCACAGTAAAAGCCAATGTTGATGTCCAGGATGAAATAGTATGGTATGGAAAAAAAAATATCACCACCCACAAAATAATTTTAAGTGTGCATAAATTTCCTTTACCTATTCAGTGCCTTACTCTTTAAACATGTCATATATTTTAACAGTTATAGCTTTTTAAATGGAAAGTTATGAGTATAATTTAATTATTGAGATAAAAAGAATATAGCTAAACTCTATTTTATAGTGGTCTGAAATTTAAACTGAATCCAAACCCTTGAACTAACTATCAATCAGACAAAACCAGAAGAAAGACAAAGTATTTGCTTGGACAAAAAATATTTTATAAGATGTAAGTACAGCAAATCTTGGACAATGAAAATTGAAATTAATTTCATACTATTTTTCTATTGATGAAACAGTGAATTAAAGTGTGTATATATATATATATCTGTATATATACATACTTAAATATATATCTATTTAATTATCTATCAGTTTAATTAGAAAATATGCACATCACATACACACCCGTAACTCACAGGGGCATGTACGTGTTGTTACCAGGGATGTCATATTCTGAAGTTGTAAAGAAAAATAAAGCGCATAGTGAAATAACTTTGGCCCCCTCCAAAGCTCACTCCTTGGGGGCACTTCCTTTTTATAGTCTCCATGCCCTTCTTAAGTAATTCCATTTAATCTTCTGGTTTAAATACTTCAGTTGTGATGATTCCCAAATCCACATCTCTAGCCTAGACCTCTTCCCCGAACTCTAATTAAAAACAAAAGCTCTCCTCTTCACAGCTCCCATTTATCATGTCCCAAACTGAGGTCCGCATCTGCTCCCCGTCCTCAACAACAGCTCCTTATATACATGTTCCCATCTCAGTTAATGGCAAGTCCATTTGATGTGGCATATTTCTCTTTTCTTCCTCTTTTACCTTTACCCATTATTTCCCCCTAGAAAATTCTTTCTGTTCTTTCAAAACATAAGCAGATTTCAACCATTTATTTCCACACTCATTGCAACAAGCCTGGTGCAAGCCATCATCTCCTACCTCACAAACTGGTCTTCCCATCTCTGTTTCTTACTCTAAGACACCGAAATCCTTGACTTACACTTAGGGTTGAAGGAGGCAGGGGCAGGCGAGGAGAGCAAAATAAAGCAATTCTCCCTTAGCTCGCTGCCCACACCCAGATCCTGGGACTTGCTCTGCCACTTATCTGCGCCTTTCCTCCCCCATGCCACCACCACCTCCACCCTTAACCCATTTGCCCAACCAAGCCATTATGTTGGTAACTAAAGTCATGGAAGAACATAGATTAGAAATGAGGAAGAGACAAGGAGGGACAAGTGAAGGAAAAGATCAGGGAGGGGGCACAGGCAGAAGAGGATTAGGGTTAAGGAATATAGAAAAAAATGATAAAGAATAATGTGCCTCTGCTTCTGTAGCAGAACGTAATCTCCAGAGAAAAACCTAAGGACTATTTCCACTTATTTTTTCCCAACTCAAGCACTACTTGTGAAAAAACGATCTCTTGAATCCTGAGGGAGGGATAGACATTCTCTCAGTTCTAACTGAGAAGAAAACTATGTGGATAATAAATGAAAATTTACACCTTAGTGCACTTGAATATACCCTTTTGGCTTCACAGGGTTTAACAACGTGCTTCAAGAAAC